ACGGACAACAGCATAAACGAGGTAAACCCTTGTCGGGGGAGGGAAATTGTGCTCAAGAAAACATCTTATTCAGTTCCTCGATGCTGAGTTCGCCATCCTTGTTAGAATCGAGAGTCGCCAGAAACGCCTTTACATCCTCTTCTCGCATGCTTTCCCCGCTGTGCTGTTCCAGAGCCAGTCGCAATTCAGCCGCACTTATCTTCCCGGACTTGTCCTTGTCTAGTTCATTGAAAAGTCTACGTACAGCTTCCGGGAACCTGAAACCGTAACAACCGTTGATACGACTGCAATACTGTGCCAATAATATATATTGTTAGTAAGGTAAATCATTGCACAGTTCAATAATATATATTATTACACGGTTTCTACTTATTTCATTTAGATAGGCTAGTAAAATGCATCAAAGATTTTCTGATCCACTCAAGCCCACAACCTCCTTCCTCAAATTGCAACAAAACGAAAGGGACCCTCGGACCATCAGCCTGCCTTCTGTAGCTCGAAAAATGCCGAAGTAAAAATCCGGCGATGCATTTTGGATAAATGGCCGAAGGCTCGGTGTGGAGTTTACATCGTATCCGATAGAGTAGGCACAGAATTTAGACCAGTGAATACTGAACGGATGAGAGAGCAAAGATCATTGGCCAACTGGTGTTGAAAAACCAATCGCAATGAAGACTAATTGAGACTAAGCAGGTCCGATAGATAAAGAGAGGGAGAGATGGAGCTCAGCTAAAACCCCCCAAACCTCGTCTAAAATGTAATCGCTGTTATTTAGCAAATTCATCGGCTTTTTACCACTGCTGTTTGGCTTCCCGTGTTATGCATTTTGTATGCTGAAGTCAAGTGTAAATCTTTGCAAACTCACTGCTCTTCATGAAGGCTTGTATTTTTAAAAATGGGGTCTTCAAGCGCCTCTGTCATTTACTCCAAATACACTGATTTGATTTGAGTAAGTACAATCCGTCAGTTTGTAGTTTGCCCGTCGTGAACACAACGACGTCCAATTTAAGGGTTTCATAGGCGACTGTTGAGTTATGTGGACTATGTTGGGATGACTTGTCTAGAATAGACTCAACTTCCCCTTCCCAAACCCATTCGCCTTCCGGTAGCGAGACTGCGTCAGGACGGCTGGAGAGGGCTGGCCAGCATAAAGCCCCTGTCAAGGCCTGTAACACTTGAACTGGTCGCTCGGCCGAGGCGGACCAGTTCTTATGAACTCAAAGCTGGCAGATACCCTGACGACACAGTTGGAAGGAGCCATTGCAACTTGGGCTTCGGCCTGGAGAACAGAGTTTCTCATCGATTGGCTACCTTCGAAACCGCAGTTCTTGGCGTTGCGCGATTGATTGGGAACAAATCACATGTGTTACTGTGGGAAACATTTCCCGCATGATCGAATTAACCGACTAGAACCGAGCTCAGGTACGTAGTCTTTCATATGTCAAAGATGTGTTAGATCGCAGTTTAGGACTGGCGGATCGGACCGCTGGTCTCCATCATCACTAGAACAGTTCCGTTGAGTAAATACCCTATTTAATTTATGCTGCTGATCAAGTCGAAAAGACCAGAAAAATCTGCAAAAGTCGCAATAAGCAAGTTGTGTCTTACCCCATTTATTTGGTCTTTGGATGCAAAAATTCTAAAATGAGAAAGAAAAATGTCAGCACTTATCAACGCAAGTTCAAGGGTAAATAGCAAGTGCTTTAATTGGCGACATATGTGCCAAGGGGGAATACGGAAATACTTTAAGTAAGAGCTCCTAGAGTTGATTGTTCATGTTAAGAACGCATTTACAGCATGCTGCCTACTTTATGAAGCGTTAAAGGGAACTCTGAAATACGTTTTCAATTGAAAAGGACTGTTTAGATGGGGTTGTAACATTGATTACCATGCAGCGTGATCCGAAGGCAAATAAGTCACTTCAGAATGTCCGCTTTTGAGCGGGCTTCTTTCTGACCGCCTATAGGAATCCCGCTAGGTAAAATGCCTTCTTAAGTTGTACGATGTTTTTTTTGAATTTACAGTGCATGACCGATCTCATGAAGTGTTAGCCGAAATTCTGAAATGCGTTTTCGATTAGGAAGGATTACTTAGGTGGAATTGTAATACTGATTAGCATGCAGCAAAATCCCATTGTACTTCGGACTCAGCAGGATGTCGGCTTTTGAACGCCCCTCTTTTTAGCATTCCGCAGAAACCACACTCGGTAATAAATAACTGCTTAATTATCATGCATTTTTCCTATCGATTTTCGGTGGTCTTATAAATTCGAAGATGTTTTATAGAAAACATGCACACAAATATGCTTTCTTTTACTCCTTCGGGAGAAAATCACACTGTGTTTATATTTTATACCCGAAGAAATTATATATTTAGGTTTCAAAAAAAGTTTCCCAATTCCCGAATAATTTTGAGCCCGATCTGCCATTGCATTAATGTTTAGCGATGTCAGTCTACAAGGTGCATCCCAATGAGTCCGACATACTATAGGATTATGCTTCATGCTAATCAATATTACAACTTCACCTAAGTAATCCTTCCTAATCGAAAGTATATTTCAGAATTTCGGCTAACATTACATGAAATCGGTCATGCACAGTTAGGTGCCCTTATAAATCCAAATATATTTTAGAAGAAACGCGATAAAAATATCCTTTTTTGTACTCATTTGGTAGCAAGTTACGTCTTCCTCAGATTGTATACTCGAAGAAAGAGTGCATTTCGGGTCTAAAAAGTCTGTAATGATGTGATTTTTTAGGACCGTAAAATAGCATCGTCTCAGTTCGTTTGCCTATGCTACTTAAGAGTTATATAGCGTAAGAAAGGCCAATTACAAAGTTTTATAAGTTTTGTGTGATATATTCGCCATAGCATAGCAACTGTAACGACAGGTCGGTTCAGAATTATTCGGGAATTGAGGACTTTTTCAAATTACAAGGTGCCCGGTCTTCGAATACACAATCGAAAGATGCTATTTGTTACCTAATTAGTACGAGAAAGAAGTTAAAATGCACGCCTTCTATAAAACTATATTTGAGTTTATAAGAAGGTTTGATGGAAAGAATTTATACTGCATACTTAGTCCTATTTTGACAAGTGGGGTTACTGCAGACGGCCAGAAGGAAGTTAATTCGGAAACCTGAATTCTGTCATTACTGAAATATTTTGCGTCTATGCCGCGCGATAATCAATATTACAACCCCATTTATGTAATCCTTCCTGGTTGAGAACGTATTTCAGAACTTCGAATAATATTTCACGGAATAAAGCACCAGCATCTTGTAGATTACCAGTCTCCCCAGCAGAAAACCACAGATGAACAGGACTTACCGACGTCCAGACTCGAAAATCAGGCACTTGTGTCGCAGAGACGAATATAACAATGGGCGCAATCGCATTAGACAGCCCGGGGACCAATCAGAATCCAGAATTTTACCTCTCTCCGCTGTGGACGACCGCCAATCATGTCGCTAGCTAATCGATGTCCTGTAGATTATTGCCAAAACCGGAAGTCGGGCAAAATCTGCGCGCCGAGACAGGAACTGCCCAGGGCGACTCCAGTCACGCCTCGGAGGAATGTCTGCTCGGGATTTTTGCTGCAGATGCCATAGTAGACTGGGTTTTGTGAATACAGTCCTAGCGGCGGAAGTTAGGTGCAATCCAGTCTTTAAGGGGGGGGGGATTCCGGCGAGGACATCAAAGTGTCATAACAGAAGCATGTTAGATTCCCCACGCGATAGCAAACACATAAATAAAGACGAACTGGTATGAGGGCCTTGTTGTTGTTTTACAGTTCTGCCACGTTCTCTCGACGGTTTACTTCCAGACTGAGCTCGATACGACGACTTTTCCTGAGCGCCAAATGGTTTCGGTAGTAGGTATTTTTTTTTCCGACGCGAATGTCGGCCGTCAAACAATTTGCACACCAAGTGCAACGATCCGTGATGAAGGCGGAGAGCCGTGAATATTCATAGATATGCGGTAGCATGGCGACTGCATCCTATAAATACTGCAGCCCCTTGTGCATGAACCTCCCGTATCTGCTTTTGTCTCTGATGATGGATTCGAGCAGGAATCTGAAACGTCAGACTAATAAAGTTCTTGTCTCAGCGATTGTGTTTCCTCCTTCAAGACTACTTCCAGGGACTCGTCTCTTCGCTTCTAGTGATTGATAAATTCAGAAGACGGACTATAGGACTGCAAATCTACGCAACTGGAAGCCACATGCTGCGAGCTGAAGCCACACCACTGACCCCTCGAATTAACACTAATTGGCTGGGTGGCAAGACAGGGGGGAAGGAACGCTTCCAGTAATTCTGGTGGTGTTGAGCTAAATTTCAGGGTAATGGTACGTAATCGTAAGGTGAGGAGCAACGTCTGAGAGCAAACTCTGTGTTAAAAGGAGGAACGAATAAAACACACCTACTTAAACAAGTATAGTAGGCGTTCCTTGTTTGCCGTAGATACTTGGGGGCCTTCACCCTGCTTGATGGCCGTCGTTTGTCGTAGTCAAAGCGGGAATACTTAATCAAATGAGCATCGCGTGTCTCTTAAAACTGACTTGCTTATATTGCCAATTTAATGAGGCCTGAAACGGAAATCTAGATGACCAGTTCTGCTTACCCGGGATTTTGTGCGTTTCACATATTGACTTGTCACGTTAAGCGAGGAACTTTTTCTCGAGCAGACAAGCCTTCAATAATTATTTGTCCGTTTAAAAAGCTCTTTGATACGATATTTCGTTGACAGATTCCCACGCACCCCTTAGTGCTGCATAAACAACAGCCTCGAGAATCACGCCAAAGCTTCCTTCGTCAATTTAAAGTTCTGATCCTAACAAATAATTTCGTTGATTTGCTCTATGAGAAGCAGAGTGTCTTCATTTGCGCCTCACTTTCCATCTCACAAGTAGTATAGAATAATACTTTACAAGTCTTACACATATTTCGTGTGTTAACCCCCAGTTATTAATTTCAGATTACGGGACCGGCAACAGATGTATGATTCGCGAACCGGAGACTGGGAGCGAGGGAGAGGGAGGGTAAGCGGGAAAGCAGACCTTCATTTTGACACAAGTACAATCAATCTGATGCGAACTTGAGTTACCACGGCGACCGAAAAGATGTGGCTCGAGGGTTACTAACCAACAGTCCGACCGTCGTTGTCGACGATGCCCACTGTGTACTTCACAGCGAGGTGGAGCAGGCACGGTGACTTGCGCGTGATTTAGTTTATAGTTCGTGCAGGCTTTCACAGCATCTATTGCACTCTCCCCCCCCTTCCCCACCTGAGTCCAGTGCTAAGACAGAGTCAAGAAGACCGGAGGTATTAGAGGTCGTAGGTGGCTGGCTCGGCCAGAGCCGCTCATAGGCGCCCCAACACACTCGGGTTACTAACTAACAAAGTAACACGGTGGTAGAGGGGTGCTAGCCGATCGCGTTACGGTACTCCCTCGTTCCGTTGTGCCTTGGGGCTCTCTCTTGAGCCCTGCCAGCAGCCTCACAACGGTGTGTACTACAGACAGAATGGCATTACCGACACAACGGAACGAGTGAGTTCCATTAAGCGATCGGTGGGCGCCTTTCCACCATTGTATTTACCCACGGCAACCGATCGGACTGTTAGCCCGTGACTCAGTGGTTAAGGTTTTAAACTGCTAGCTAACAGGTTTCGGGATCGAGCCCCAGGTGTTGTACGCTCTGGGGCTGGGTAGGGTTGACCGGCCAATCGAGTAATAAAGTGTGAAATGGCCATTCCAGCCTCCCTTTGTCGGTAATGTCATTCCGCCTAAACTAACACATGTTCCAATATTTCCTTTTATTGTGTCCCAGGTCAACTCCTACCGACATGCGATCCGCGTGCGTAAAGCACCGCTCACTTGGGTTGGAGCATGAGCATGTGTGTGGCGGACGTAGAAGGGGATAAGTATGTTGTATTAGACATTGTTCTCATCTCTTTTGACGTTCTGGTGCTCCAGACAGATAGGAGAATGAGAGAGAAGGAGGGGAAAGGCTTCTCATTTTGAGATAAGCAAAATTTTCACCTACGGATCACTAAATACAATGGTTCGGCACGGCATATGCCGATTTTTTTACTGATTAACTTATCGGTTGACGCAAAAACTATATTTCTGTCAAAGACTCGTGGAGTAGTCAGTAGACGCCATCGACCCGACTCATTACTCTGTTTGGCTCCTCTCCTGTATGTGTGGTCCGACGGTTCTATCCTACCTGTGTGTAAAATCCTGATGTGTGAGTTTATGGGACCAGGTCGTGAATGTGACGCGCGAAGACGAGTTCCCAAGCTCTGTCAGCCACTGCGCGCATTTCCCACGCCAGAAAACTGACCGACATGGACAGTGGCTAGGACTTACGAATAGGAATAGAGAGTGAGGTCGATGACTCAGCGCATACTCCTCACTATAAACAATCTGACGCGCTTGAAGATATCACAATGCACTAAAAGCCATGGCTTTGAAGGTTGCCGACTGACGGGATAACTCGGACCTCACAGTTCTTTTGTTTGAAGTGTCAGGCTGAGATGGCTTCTGCTTCTTAATGTGGCCTCTATGACACTCCCACACCGCGTGATCCGGGTCCGATGTGACGGCTCGCCTAGGTGCGGCTTCAGCTGTGCCAGCCACCTGCGATCTCTCCCGCCTCCAGTCTTCTTGACTTGATCATGGCACTGGGCTCAGGTGGGGAGGAGAGAGTGCGGTAGATGCTGCGCAAGTCCATTATCACTTTAAACCAACTCATGTGTAAGTCATCGTTTCTGTTCTTACTCTGCTGTGTAGCACATGCTGGACATCGTCGGTTAGGATGGCCAAACTGCCAGACGACATCGGTAATTTGCATAAATACACAGAAAGGATAGGAAAGACTCAACTGACAGGGAGGCCCGTTTCCTCTACTGCAGCAGAAAGATATTTATGCGTGACTTAGAAAGGGAAACTGTTAAGTCTATTTCAAAATCTTGCTTTCAGACAGAAACTATCTCTCGGGCTGCTGAGCCTTTACTTTTCTCAGCTGCTTGCATTCTGATGAAAGTAAACTTGTGGCTTGCGTCACGGTCTGGGGTGACTTGTCGGTTTGACACCAGATCTTTTCCTTTGGAAGATTTTTGGACGAGGACCGATTACGCTGTCCTGGTACCAAGTGTAAGCGCACTGTGGACATTGAAAGGAAAGTAAGCCGAAGGGGGATGCTGGAGTTGCTAGTGGGGAAAGTAGCCGGGTCTGAAACGAAAAAGAGCAACCTGAGAAATCCGCCGCGAAATTGAAGGAACCCTAGAACCTGCGCAGGCTGGCTGACAGGACACGCAGGCCAGCAATGTCCCAAAGCCTAACGCTAAACATAGCAGTAACCGCAAAAGTAAACCTTACCTTTGACTAATTTTAAATCAAACGCTATTCCTAAATCCAGCACTAAACCTGGCCCCGAACTTACCGCAAACCATAGCCCTAACCCTAACCCTGACTCTAATGTTAACCGTAACTCTACGCCAGCCCTAACACAAACTTTAACCTCAACTTCAACGTTAAACGCAAACTCAAACTGCAATCCAAACCCCAACTTTAACCCGGACCCCTATACTTAGCGCAAACCCTAACCTTAAATTCAATCCTCAGCCTGACACTAACCCGAACCCTAAAACTAACCTTATTTCTAAACCAAAACATCGGGTTGTACCTTTCGTTTTAACTCTAGCCACTTTCCTACTAACGATTTTAGCTTCCCCCTTCGGCTTATCATACTTGCAATGCCCACATTACGCTTGCACTTGGAATCAGGGCAGCGTAACCGACCCCGACCAGATTGCAGTTGGTAGCCCCGAATGGAAAGCGGACGGCGGCCTTAACCCTAATCCCAACCTTTACCCTAACCCTAACCTCAACCGTTATAGTTAACCGTTAACCCTAACGGCAACCCTAACCCTAGCCTAAATAGTAAACTTAACTGTAGCCCTTAGACATAGCCGTAACTGAGAAGCCTAACCGTAATACTGGAACCTATTTGTACGCTCAAACCCTAACCATAACCCGAAAACCTAAGCCTAAAGGCATAACCCTAACCGGAAAATCGGAAACCACTAACCGGTACCCTAAGCCTAACCTCAAACGTAAAAAAGAAGCAAAATGTGTCCGATGAGATTATGGAGCCCCACAAAATAACCCCAGTAAACAAACCCCCCAGCCACTTGTAAGGCGGGTCCGGGCTACCAACAGCGATCTAGCCGAGATCTGGTGTCCAACCGACAAGTCACCCCATTGCCACTTTTCGTTTGAATTCAGGACTTACAGCTTTCACCAAACCCACACATTCCTGCTTTTCTAACATCAACCATTTGGCCTTCAATATGACTTGAAGATTCATAAACGTGTTCTGCACTTAGGGGGCGAAGATTATCAGTATTACGTCTGGATCAATGTTTTCATGCAATCGCTCGTAAAGGCGCTTGACTGAAGCCCTAACGTCAGACAAAACAAGCATGCTCCATTCTACAATAAGATCGATGACGCGTCATTTCAAGCTTAAATACTATTTTTGATGTCAACCCACAAAGGCGGAAAGTAAGGGGTTCGGTTGGGAGGAGCTTTTGATTTAGGATTTAGTGGTTGAGATGGTCGAGATTCGAATGTCGGGTTACCAAAATTTGGGACTGGGGCATAACTAGCTGAAAATGCCACCTAGATCCTGAAACAAAACCCGCTCTGACAGCTTTTAATTCGCACATTTATGGGCATTCGTTGGCTCTTTTGCGGACACAACTGTGGTGGCTTCGACCAAAAAGCGTCTCTTAATCGCCGCACCAAAGGATGTTCTTATTCACGCAGCTGCACAGTCGTGCATAAAAGTGCAAAACACGTGAGACCGATGGCTGTTGAGGCATGATCTGATTCCGGACTCTAAGAGTACGTTGTTGTTGTGGCAGTACTGTCTCGTGTATGACTTGTTATTGCGATAGTTTCTCGTGTCTGTCTCGAAAACGATGTCGATCTCTGGCTTCGCCGAACCCACAAATATACATATATATATGCATACAAATTCCGAGAGACAACCCTACGCTTGGACAAATCATCAACTGTTAAGGTACGCTTGCCTTCTCCGGTCTTCCAGATAGTTACATTTTAAAATGCTATTTGATTTTTATGCTCCTGATCGACATAGAACCAGCTGACTTATAGAAGACGACAAATTTCCCCGCGTATGAGCATCTGATTTTGACAGGGAAGTTCTTTAAACCCAAAAGTGTTCGATCACTAATTGATGAGCACAAAAAACGGGTCTGTAATGTAACGTCCCATTTCAGTAAACATCAAGTAATTAGCACTGTACTATTCAAAGACGAGTTAATACATAACCGTAGTAAGTAGCAATTAAATTTTCTAGCTCTCTGAAGGTTATGAAAATACGAAAGTCGTACAGCCAAAAAGCTGTATAAATCTCGCTTTTCTCCTAATATGTGAGGAAAGATAACTTCCAATTGCGAAGCATTTATCATGCGTGAAGCACAAAAGCCGTTGGTTTTAAGCTTCAAGATTGCTGAATTTGTTTTCACGATGGAATAGGTTTGTGGGAAATGACTGATGACTACTAAGTCGATACATTAAAAAATAAAAATACAAATGTTAGAGGTTTTGACGACTCCACATTTAGTAAGGAGATTTTCCAAGTGAGAATTTCGCCACTTTTTTAAAAAAGGAAACCAGTACAGTTTCTCTGGTATTTTAGAAATCTCATGGCATCTGCTCAAAGAGTCAGGTAACGAAAGACAACCGCATACTTTGAGGTTAAATGTATCTTTTAAAAATTCATTGTCCAGTTTCTTGCCATACAATTATGCTTTTTTTCTAAACTCATTGTAGACATTAAGTAAAATCTAATAAAAGAGTCCTTACGATTTGCAGTCAATTTCAGTGACAAGTGTGCACTCATATAATTCCATAAAATTGGACTTGAAACTGCACTAAATCGGTATTATATCGTTAAAAGACATTCTTTTATGAAAAGCACAAATATCCTAGCAGGCACTTCGATGAAAATTAGCAGTAATTTTATGACGAACAGTTATCCTGACAGTGTACGAAATTGGGATATCAAAAACCGTAAGTGAGCTTGGAAAACTTTGCTACATAAAGTTTTCAATGGAACGAAACTGCCAATTCACTTTATTTTTTTTATCGGGACTTTGCACTGCAGTAAGCTAATGATCTTATTTTCATTAAAGACTTCCTGATTGGGATCGTCCATTGGACACGTAAGTTTCCATTAGACCATAGGCGAGAAAATGCTTTCGCAATGGGCATAACACAGTCTTTACAATTTTAGGTCTCCGGTTGCTATACGAGTGAAACAAGAAGGGTGAGTTATTTTTGAAATATTCCCCTATATGCTGACTAGGCCGATTATTTGCCTAGTGTCATTAAATAACACAGTAAAGCACACGATATTTTTGGTGATCTTTCTTGCTCACAGTAGATGTTCTAAGTCATGAAATGCTTACCGATGTTCTGAAATTAGTTCTTTACCCGAAGTGACTACTTAAGTAGGTTTGCAATATTAATCACCGGACAGCATAATCCTAAAACAGGGGGCTCCAGCAAAAGGCGGCATCCTAAAGTGACAGAAATATCGTGGTAGTATGCTACACAATATTTTGTATCACAGCCGTCCTTATGCAATCGTTTCGAATAGGAAGCGCATTTAAGAATTTCGATTAACATTTCATGAGTTAGCAAACCTACTGTGTTTATACAGTCAATGGTCGATCTTATGAATGTTTGATCGAAATGTTGAAATCCGCTTTCGAATTAATAGGATAGTTTACGTGAGGATATGATTTTGACCACCATGAATCTTACTCTAAATATATTCAATGTCATTGGAAGATCCCGGTTTCGCGAGCGCATTTTTGCTCGCCGTCTGCTAAAATCGCACTCGGCGGAACATCGGTACTTAAGTGGTTTAGATTTATTCTGTTAATTCTCAGAATTCTTAAAAACTCAAATTTTTTTATGCAAAACATGGTCAAAAATATGCCTTTTCTACGGACTTGGTAGTAAATCAAGTCTTTTTCAAATTTCGTACTCGAATAGGTCATAAAAAAGACCGTGAAATGTCCATTCAAATAACAATGTCTTTGGCCGTTTACTAAGCAGCGCATGAAGTATACAACATGGTCGCACTCAGCGCCATTTTTTGACTTCTATGTGACCATTTTTTAATCACCCAGAGATAAGTGTGTTTACCTCTAGATGGAAAATATGTAGCGTCTAAACTGTGAACCTCAGACGCAGATCCATCAGCAGATCTGGTTCAAAGTTACTCGGAATTTAAAGATCACATTTAAAACTTAAATCTAGCCTTTCTTCAAGCGCAACGTCCACAAAAGACGTGATTCGCTATCAAATTAGTTAAAAAGAGTATATTTTAACAATGATTTCTGTAAAATGCTTCTTAACTTCCTAAGGATCTTGAAAATCAGCAGAAAAATCCATAACACATAAGTGACCACTTTTTCCGGAGTGCGTTTTTGCAGGCCACCAAGTAGGAGAACATTTAGAAGCCGACATTCAGCCGTGACTTGAATATCTTAAAAATATGCTGCAAGATTATCACTGACATAAACCCACATATTTAACCTCCCCTAATGAAAAAAGCCTTTCAGGGCTTATGTTAAAAGTTAATGAGATTCTTTGGCAGAGCGCTTGCTGTAGCTTTACGATCATCATACGAAAATATCACGATGTTCTATGAGATTGAAGTTATGGACTCCTAAGGAAACACAAATGTTGGCAAACCGGAACGTAAAAATTAACGGCTTACATTTTGATAAATAATATAAAATACAATTGATCCTTCATGCTCGCTTAGGAATGACGTGAAAATAGATAAATGTAAACGATATTACTTAAGTGGCGGTCTGATCTTTCCTGAACAAAAAACCCGTGAATGTTGACGTTTAACTAATGCTCCCATTCCATTGATTCCTATCACGATTGCAACCGTGATTTCATATCGTTTATTTAAAACACTTAACACGGAGAAGCATTAAGTCGTTGTGAGATTTAACCATTTACGTTCTGATTAAAGCTACCTACGATAAGAAAATGGCAGCACTTGGGGTTCATTTAAGGGACGACTGGTGGTTCTCCTAGACAAATAAAAAGAAAAACGTCGCTATTGAATTGCATTCATATTTTAATGCCGGAAGAGGCAGTGTACGAAGATTGTCCAGGGAGATAAACGTCAGTGGACTGACGCAGTTTTCTAAAATCGCCTTACAATAGTTCGACTGCCGTGAGCGTCAATGTCCACCATGTTCCCCACAGCATGGCGGGTGCAAGACACTGACTTGCACAGCATCTACCACACTCGTTCCTCTCTTGCTCGACTTAAGTCCGTGTCAAGGCGTCAGAAAGAGATCGAAGACGCAAATGGACGCAAATGATTGACAGAGATAAGCAACGCATCTACGTGTGCCACGCATGTCTGGCCAGCGAAGGATGCATCGGAGTCGCACAGAACCAAGACGCGATTGGTTCGGACCACTGCTGTTTGGTAGACGGGAAATAAGAAGCATATACAGAGTGGGTGACTTTCCGCCTTGATGACCACCGAGCCATCCCGTCACTTGGTGGGGTTCCACGAAACCAGTTATCAGTCAGGTAAAGAAGACATGATGCTTATTAGGATTCAGATATTCAGCACCGTCACGATGACTACAGCCGCAGGCGAATGATGTTCACCTATTTGTCCTAATTACAGGTCGGAATGGTAAGGACTCATTTTGCCTTAGAAATGTTCAGTTGTTCTAGAACAAGCAGTCACACAGTGACAGTCATTCAGTCATCAGGAATTAAAGCAGACGAATACGTGCTGGACCGCGGTGTCCGTTTCGTGTTTGCTACTTCTCACCAGCACGCCACAGCTTAAATCCGGACCTGGGGACCACAGGAATGAAATCGGGGCTTTATATCAACCCCTAACCAGTTCAGACGTAGAGATCACATTTCGCATTCGAATGCTAATGTGAACTCTACCAAGGACAGCCAATCATACCCTGATTGCCCATCTTTGATTGCATTGCCACAGTTTAAATGCGGACTTGGGGCCGCAGGATTGAAGTCGGGTTACCATCTGTAGCCTTATACATTTCAGACGGAGGATTCGCATTCAGTCTTTGAATGTTACTTTAAATCTCACCAAGACAGCCTTTGATGTCTAGAGTGTCCATTTTTGATTGTATGGATTGCCTGATTGCCAAGTCATTTGCTGTTTGAATAAAATGCTTGCTCAGACATTATACTTGCGACTGACTCACTGTGTTTCTATTGAAGCCTGCCAGATTGGGGCGATCGTCCTTATAGACCGTAAGTTAGCGACTTTTCTGATGTTTCCATTGCCACAGTCGGCTGTGACATAAACTGTCCCTACCCACTATACGATTGCAACTACCTCAATCATTCGACAAATTGTTAATGTGTGATTTCAATGTACAAACTTTCAACGATTGATGATTTTTATTTTCAGACTGCCTGATCAAGTGCAGCTGGAGGCGAAAAGGTAGGCTATTCCACACCACGACGTTAGAGGATTGATGGCCCTGAATATTCCCTACTGCGTTAGGGTTTTCATGAAGAAAATAATAGCAGCTCGGTATTCCAGCATGTGCGAACATCTTTGCGGCATGCTTAGGTAGAAGACTGTTGAGGTTTATTCGTCGTCTACTGTTCTCGACTCTGATTGGAGGAAATGTGTTAGTTTGGTGAGACCTGACACTTTAGAATCGGTTAGGTCACGGACGCACAGTAGACAGTTGAGTGTGCAGACGTTGGTCCAAAGCTCTCCTTTCACTGGAGATGGCTATTTAAGCTGCCATATTAATTTCAAAATACCCAAGGAGGTGTGTGTGTGTTTGTGTGCAAAACGTGAAGAATGCATTTTTAGAATTTCGAAAGTTGTTAATAAGCAGGGGGTGATTTCAGCACAAAGAAGGAGAGAGTTATTGGATAAAGGGAGCCGAGAATGCTTGGAATAACACGAAGTCAAACCAAAGACTTGCAGAATTTTTGTCCCAACCTCGTTTGCATATGAGGCTACTTCGATGATATGTTTAAAATAAATACGTATGACAGAATTTATTAACACCAAAACACCTCGCAACGGTTCAAGATTAAGGAATACATGCTTGTGTCTATTTTAAACCAAAATCTTTGATAACTTGTGTTATCTGAGAGATGTAGATTGAATCGTGATTATGAAATAGGCGTTTTAGTAAACCCGACTCCTCACTGCTGAAGATTTCCCTATGATTGTTAACAGGGTACGGTTTCTTTTTGATAATGCATACGAGATTGTAGTAAGACCGACCACTTCCAATGCCCTTTATTTCTAAATTATGTAACGTTAGTACGAAATTTACTGAGAAGTGCGCATTGATCGGGGTTTACAAAATTTTTCGCGGAATTTCATAACCCGTGCAGTAAATCATTATGAGTCATGTTTCGACGAAAAGTACAGATATTCCAGCAGGTATTTCGACGAAAATTAGTTGTAGATTTTGTAGAATTTCCTAATTTTACGAAAAACCATTTGGCTGAGAGGGCCCAATATTCAGACCGTAAAAACCCTCTGTGAGTTCGAAATGCTCTGGTACTCAATGTTGCCTATTAAAATAAGAATGATTATATAATATTCGACTCATTTTTATACCGAAGCTTTGCACAGCTGTGGGTAACTGACCTTATTTCCATTAAAGACTACCTGATTGGGATCGTCCATTGGACACGTAAGTTTCCATTAGACCATAGGCGAGTAGATGTATTCGCAATGTGCATAACACAGTCTTCACAATTTTAGGTCTCCGGTTGCAACACGAGTGAGACAAGAAGAGTGAGTTATTTTTGAAATATTCCCTTAGCTAATGACCAAGCCGATTATTAACTTTTCTTATCAATAACACAACAAATCATTAAATATTTAGACTACCATTTTTAAATGGATATATAGTGAGTGATCGATCTCAGGAAATTGAAACGGAAATTCTGTAATACCTTCTCGACTTTGCAGGATTGCTTAAGGGGTGTTATAGTAATGCTCATGATTTGGAATAATCTCAAAAATATTCTGTGCGACTGCCAGATGGTGGCTTCTGAATACATATCTGCTCGGCCGCCTGCAATGCGCGCACACAGTGAAGTGTCCGTTTAAGTAGTATGAATTTTTCTATTAAATTCTGAGGTCGCTAGAAAGTAAAGAAATATTTTGCAGAAAGCGGGCAAAAATATGCTTCCTCATACTTATTTGGCTTCAAATCATATCTTTTTTGAATTCTTCATTCGAAGGAAGCGTGTTTTTGGTTTTAAGACTGCTTTGGAAATTGTCGAATAACTTCGAATATCGTCTGCTATTGCATTTGTGTAAGAGGTTCACAGATTTAAAACCATATAATTTTCATATACGTCAAATCATACACACTTTATATCATCAAGTAGATTTTATTGCAAACATGGCCAAAATATGGCTTATCATCCTCATTCGTTAAAACACCACGTATTCTTGAAATTTTATAGTCGAAGAAGGGGTATTTTCGGCTTGAAAATTTTTCCAGATAAGAGACTCTTTAGACTATAAAATTTCCTTCCAAATAACATCGAAACACCCATCACAGTGACATCCGTTGCACATTTCGTGAATTCTGTGTGATATATTTTACTAACCCAGAGGTATCCTTGACGCAAGTGCAACTGCAGACCTGTAGCAAAATGATTTGGGGAATGAACAACCATTTAAACCCTGAATAAACAATTGAAAGAAGACATGATTTTCTCCTAAATGAGCATAAAACGCATACCTGTGATTATGTTTTCTGTAAAATATTTTCGGATCTTCAAGGGTCGCGAAAACTAAAGGAAAGAAACCATACCCATTAAGTGGCTGTTCTTCACTAAGTGCAATTTTTGAAGGGAGCCGTGCAGCACCCCCTAATTGGAACCGCATTTCAGAATTTCGGTTAAAATCCCATTAGATCGATCACTGCTTGCGAAATTAATATCACAAGTGGTGGTAGCGGATACCTTGGCTGTGGAGCTAGGCTCCATTTTGTCATAGAAATCTGCTATGCTGTTCTTGAACAGGCAGTCACACAGCGGCAGCCATTCAGTTATCGGGACTGGGAGCAGAGGAATACATACTGGACCAAGATTTCCGTTTCGTGTTTGCTACTTCTCATCAGTCCGCCACAGATTAATTCCGGTGCTGGGGGCCACAGGACTGAAGTCGGGGCTTCGTATCAACCTGTAACCAGTTCCGACGTAGAGGTCACATTTCGCATTCGAAGGTTAATGTGAACTCTACCAAGGACGGCCAATGATACCCTGATTGCCCATCTTTGACTGCATTGCCACAGATTAAATGCGGACTTGGGGCCGCAGGATTGAAGTCGGATTACCATCTGTAGCCGTATAAAGTTCAGACGGCGGATTCGCATTCAGTCTTTTAATGCTACTTGAAATCCTACCAAGGACAGCCTATGATGTCTGGAGAGTCCATTTTTGATTGTATGGCGTGCCCGATTGTCAAGTCATTTGTTGTTTGAATAAAGTGCTTGCCAAGGCATTATACTTTCAACTAACTCCCTGTGTTTCTATTGAAGCCTGCCAGATTGGGGTGATCGTCCTTATAGACCGTAAGTTAGCGATTTTTATGATGTTTCCATTGCAATAGTAAATTGCGACTATCCCAATCATTCGACGTATTGTTAATATGTGCTTTCAATACACAAACTTTCAATGATTGATGATTTTTATTTTCAGACTGCCTGATCAAGTGCAGTTGGAGGCGAAAAGGTAGGTTATTCCACCCCACGACGACAGAGGCTTGCTGGCTGTGAATATTTCCGTATTGCGTTAGGGTTTTCATGAAGAAAATAATAGCAGCTCGGTATTCCAGCAAGTGCGAATTTCTTTCCCGCGTGCTTAGATGGAAGTTCGTTGAGGTATATTCATTGTCTACTGTTCTGGATTCTGATTGGAGGAAATACCTTAGTTTGGTGAGGCCTTACATTGTAGAGGTGGTTGGGTCACGGACGCACAGCGGACAGTTGAGTCTGCAGACGTTGGTCCAATGCTCCCTTTTTACTGGAGATGGCTATTTAATCTGCCATATTAATTTCACAATATCCAAGGAGGTGTGTGTTTGTGTGCAAAACGTGAAGAATGCATTCTTGCAATTTCGAAAGGTGTTGCTAAGCAAGGGGTGATTTCAGCACAGGTTGGGTCATGGACCCAAAACGTGCAGTTGAGTGTGTAGAAGTTGGTCCAAAGCTCCCTTTTTACTGGAGATGGCAATTCAAACTGCCATAGAAATTTCTGAATATTCAATGAGGTGTGTGCATGTGCAAAATATGAAAGATCCAGTTTTCGATATCCGAAAGTTGTTGCTGAGTGAGGGATAATTTAAGCACAAAGTAGGAGAGAGTTATGTGAAATAGGTCGCCGAGAATGCTTGGAATAACACGAAGTCAAATCTCCGACTTGCAGAATTCCTGCCAAATATCATGCCTACGCGTGCCACGCATGTTTGGTCGGCGAAAAATGGATCAGGATCACGCAGAGCCAAGACGTCATTGGCTCGGACCACTGCTGCTTGATAGACGTCACATAAGCACCACATTTTGTTGGAAATCAGCAGTACATAGAGAACGAGTCCGTAATTTTATGAAGAAAAGTTACCTTAAGAGTGTACGAAATTGAGATATCAAAAACCGTCAGTGAGCTCGGAATACTTGGCTACATAAAGTTGTCAAGGGAACGAAACGGGCAATTCACTTTATTTTTTTTATCGGAGCTTTGCACTACAGTAAGTAAATGTTCTTATTTTCATTAAAGACTACCTGATTGGGAGCGCCCACTAGCCACGTAAGTTATCACTCGACCGCAAATTACAAAATGCATTTACTATGTATATAACACATCGTTTACAATTTTAGGTCCCCGGTCGCCACACGAGTGACAAAGGAAGGGTAAGACATTTTAAAATTATTTACTTATATGCTAGTTAAGTCAACTATTTACCTAGTGTCATTAAATAACACAGAGAAGCATCTGATATTCCTCTTTCTTTCTTACGGTAGATGTGCCAAACAATAAAATGTCAAACGAGGACCTATAATTAGTTTTCCACTCGAAAAGATTATTTAAGCAGGGTTGTTATAAAGTATGCGTGGTGGAAAGCATGTAGCACCAAAACTGTGATCTTCAGACGCAAATCCATCGGCAGATCTGGATCAAAGTTACAAGGGATTTAAAAGTAATTTTAAAGCTTAAATCTATCTTTACTTCAACAGTAAAATACAAAGAAGACGTTGTTTGCTACCAAATTAGTAAAAAAAGGGTATATTTTAACAATGAGTTCCGTAAAATGCTTATTAAATTTTAAAAGGTCTTGAAAATCAGCAGAAAAAATCCATAACACATAAGTGTCCACTTTTTACAGAGGGCGATTTTTGCAGGCCGTCAAGTAGGAGTACATTAAGAAGCCGGCATTCAGTCGTGACTAAAAGATCTTAGAATCATGCTGCAATAGTATCAATGATATAACCCCACTATCACGATGCTCTATGAGATTGCAGTTATAGATTCCTAAGGAAACACAAGTGTTGGCAAATAGGAAACTAAGAATTAATGGCTTGCATTTTGATAGCTATTATAAAATACAATTGATCATTCATGCTCGCTTAGGAATGATGTGAAAGTAGATAAATGTAAACGATATTACTTAACTGGCGGTTCGTCAGATTTAACCATTTAAGTTCTGATAAGCGCTTCCTGAAATAAGAAAATAGCGGAACGTGGGGTTCATTTAGGGGACGACCGGTGGTTTTCGTAGACATATAAAAAGAAAGACGTCGCCACTGCACTACGTGCTCGTTTTGATGTCGGAAAAGGCAGTGTAGAAAGACTGTCCTGGGAGACATACTTCAGTAATCTGCCGTAGTTTTCTGGAATCGCCTCACAACATTTCGACCACCGTGAACAACAGTGCCCAGCGTGTTCCCCACAGCATGGCGGACACAGGACGGTGACTTGCAAAGCACCTACCACACTCGCTCCTCCTTTGCTCAACTAAAGTCGGTTTCAAGGCGTCAGAAAGGCGTCGAAGACGCAACTGGAGGCAGTGCTTGACAAGGCCAACTAACAGGCATACGAGTGCCAAACACATCTGGCCAGCAAAATATGCATCGGGTTCGCACAGAACCAAGATGTTGTTGGTTCGGACCAGGTGTACAGTCACAAAACCATTTATTAGTCAAGGGAAGTGAACATGATACTCGTTAGGATTCAAGTACTCACCACCGTCATAATGTTTGCAGTCACACGCGAATGATGTTCATCTATTTGTCCTAATTACAGATCGGAATGGTAAGGGCTCATTTTGTCTTAGAACTGCTCTGTTGTTCTGCAACAGGCAGTCACACAGCGGCAGCAATTCAGTCATCAGGAATTAGAGCAGACAAATACATACTGGACCACAGTGTCCGTTTCGGATTTGCTACTTCTCATCAGCACGCCACAGCTTAACTCCGGTCCTGGAGGCCACAGGACTAAAGTTGGGGCTTCGTATCAACCTGTAACCAGCTCAGACGTAGAAGTCACATTTCGCCTTCGAAGGTTAATATGAACTCTACCAAGGACGGCCAATGATACCCTGATTGTCCATCTTTAATTGCCTTACCAAAGTTTACATGCGGTCTTGGGCCACAGAATTGAAGTCGGGTTCCCATCTAGAGTCGTATCGAGTTCAGACAGAAAGGTCAAATTTCGTCTTTGAATGTTAAAGTGAATCCTACCAAGACAGCCTATGATGTCTGGAATGTCCATTTTTGATTGCATGGATTGCCTGATTGCAAAGTCATTTGTTGTTTGAATAAAATACTTGCCAAGGCATTATACTTGCAACTGACTGTCTGTGTTTCTATTGAAGCCTGCCAGATTGGGGCGATCGTCCTTACAGACCGTAAGTTAGCGATTTTTATGATTTTTTTCCATTGCCATAGTCGGCTGTGACAAAAACGCCACCGACCCACTAGGTAATTTCGACTATGTCAATCATTCGACGTATTGTTAATATGTGCTTTCAATATACAAACTATAAATGATTGACGCTTTTATTTTCAGACAGCCTGATCAAGTGTATTGCGGAACGAAAAGGTTTGCTTTTCTACACATAAGAGTTGGTCTGTTTTTTTATCCGATTTTCCTTGCGAGGGGTAGTTTCCGGGGGTAGTAAGAAGAATACACGAGGCATTGAGTTGGAAATGATACTAAGACTTCGTTATTGGCAATACACTACAGGAGACTGTCCAGCCACCCTTTAGGATTGGCTAAAACCAATCCGACTTTCGGCAAAGGCGCATCTTTGAAATAAACTCGTAAACAGATTAAGTAGTCTGAAGCGAAGGAGGCATGTGCCGAAAGCAGTTCCACGCTTGTTGCAGGTAACCAGTACATCTCAACCGTCCTTCCAGATCGACATCACGGCCAGACTGACTGACTGGTCACTGAAGGCTTGTTTTGCTTCAGGAATTTGAAGCATGCGTCCCAGTGGTGGCATTAGTCATCGTTTTTGCTAAGAGTAAGTCAGTTGATAAGAACTCAACAAGTACAGACAAGGGTTTCGAGGTAACTGCGTATCATTACTATGGCTTAGTTCCCCTCCTTCTCAACGTTTCTCCGGCCAGACTCTGGATTCGGACTTCTGACTGTGTGATCGCAGCCACCTTACGTTAAAATCTAAAATTCTGCAAACATCTTGCCGAATCAGCACTTGTCTTTGTCATTCTCTCTTAGAGGGAAATAACTCGCAGTAAAGCCATTGGGTGTTATTTTTAAAAGGCACAAAAACCCTGAAGAGGTTCTAATGCTCTCTTGATTTATCTCTCTACTTTTTGCAGCTCATCAGACAGTGAGGGTGAGCAGATCGTGGGAGAGTAAGTACAATTCTGGCTTTTTCATGCGGTGCTGAACTGAGTGAAGATTATTACTACGTCGCCTCATATCATAAATGCTCTTAGAATGGTATTTGGACATTAAATTATTATTTTGAGATGTCCTGTGGCCGTTCTTTTTAAAACTACCGATAATTTCATGCAGCCTGATACTGTGGACCTTGGAAGAATGGTCTCCTAATTTCACAGATATCCACCTACCTCAGTTATCATTAGTACAAACATTATCATGATCATCGTAATCGATGGCTTCACTATCCTTGTCACACGACGACGACGACCACCACCACCACCACCAATAACAACATCATCATCCTCATCCTTATCATGCGCTTGCTTTGATTGATTTAGCTTTTACGGCCTCCTTTTCAACACTCTTTGCGATCATATAGGCCCAAATTTCTGTGGTTTTGGTAAATTCGGCCGGGGCTGGTGTTTTCAAAAACTTTGGCCACTGCAGTTGTTTCGGTCACCAAACCCGCATTGCGGAAAACGTTGTTTTTTGTTCTATGCTGACAGATAATATGCATGCGACGCGAGTTTAATAGATGCGAGACCCACGCATGCCTAAGTGTTACCACGGCAATTGTGTGCGGATAAAACTAAAGATAACTTCTCAACCTTTCTAAATCATAACCAGCACTAGTAATGAAGAAGGGCGAATCAGTAAATTGCAAACAACTCGGTTGTCTATCCTCCTAATTCTTTAGATATATTTCGAAGCAGTCTTAAAGATTATGTGTCTGAAAACGAGATCTTTTATTTTAGCCTTCCCGACTGGCATGACCCGATTCTCCGGTAACTGTCCATTATTCGCTTGACTGAGTTGTACAAATGTGTTTAAAGAATCATAAAAGAGTGGCGTCGTAAGTTAAAAATTGATTCCCTCCAAATAATTAATAGAGTCCTTATGAAACCCCACTTTCGGAGACCAAAACAAACGCATAATTCTGAGCAGTCATATGCAGTCTCGCAATTGCCAACTTTTGTGTACGCTACTGCAGCAATGATTAGACCGCGTTGTGTGATTTCGGTGTCACTAATGTCGGATCTTCACAGAGCAATGAGATTTGTTATGTTCACACGCGACTTAGGCATCCGTTCGTAGCTCAAGCCTCCTGCAGTGCGTGTCTTTGTGTGGCCTCTGAGATCTGTGAATGAGTTCCGGGACTCTCAGGGAGGATAAGGACCATTGTAGATCGGGGTTTCTTCACCTTTCACACACGTACGCATTTGACCTCCAACCTCGGTAGTGTTCTAAACAGGCTGTGTGGATGGTTCTTCACAGGAGAATACACTCTCGACGCTAACCCATCAGAGGTCCACAGTCTGCGTGATCTACTACACCCGAATCCTCGCCAGTGGCTGATAACGGGGACGAGGCAATTGTCCGACATGAAGGGTCTCAGAGACTGCAGAAAGCATCACATACGGGACGGCAGTCAGGTGTTACCCCCATATCCTGCGTGTGGTTGAGTGCCCTTGCAGCTACGCAGAGCAAACGGGATGAAAAGCGGGGACCAGGATGCGTGAACACGAAAGGACCTTGAAAGAGGTCACGTCGTAGTCAGTTTGTGACAGAAATGTGGTGAACGGAAAGAGATGAGTTTTGAAAACGCATAATATCATCTTTGTGATATTGGGTTCCGACGGCAGGGTGGTCTGAGAACACAACCTACTGACCAAAGCGGAGATAAAGCCCAACTACTGCGAGGTTAATTCTAGAATAATGGGTTTGACTGAAAGACGACATGCATACGGGAATGGAAGTTAAGCCAGTGCTACACAAAGTTTGTCTACTTGAGGCGTCCACAGGGTAAAAGCTGGCCCACTTTTTCCTTGGCTTAGGGATCTCTAAGAGGCAACAGATGGTGTCTAGCCGTCTGGAAATTCGTCCGTTCATTTCACAATGTTCACAAATCCGAAACCTGGAAACTGTTCAAAGGTGTTAAAAAGGACAGCTTTCGTAGCAGCAGAAAACACACTTTTAATCCGGAAACGAAATCCAGAATACTGACTTGAGGCAATAACGATTATTCACTGCCCGCCGTCATGGCACAACCTGAAAGGATTCCGACTTATGCAGCTCTGAAACAAAGGAGGAACTGTCATTATTTGTTTTGAGGACTCCTGAGAGCCAAGACAAAATTTGAGTAGAGAGTAAGTAATAGCCGAAGATTATTAGAGATGCGGCGAATGGTAACTGAAGTGGCTTTTTAATGTTTGACTGATCATCGTCAGAGTTAACTTTAGGTGCGGATTTTCGTTGAGATAAACACTCAAACAGCTGTGCCGTAAGCTGGGGTTCCCTTTTCTGCAATCTAGGTTAGTTATAGTCATTTGTGGACGGCATCCCGGTTCGGCGACTGTAGATGAACCTGGGTTTGGTTAGTTTTCTGGATGACAAACGAAACTAGAAATAACCACCCTCATGCTAGCCCTCCTGATCGGCAATACGGCTGGATTAGTGATTGCTCTTGGTTACATAGGTTGCTGCGAGTGCAATAGACTGGAGCTGTAACACAAAACAGAACTTTACTGGTTTCTCGAGCAATAGAGTAGGTAAGCGAGGGCTTTTCTTGAGCGGCCGTTACTCAGCCGTGTTCATTTACACCAAATTCATTAAATCTGTTGCACAGAATTGCACCGGAAATCGCGCCTGGGTCTCTAGCAGTCAGAACTGGCATTGTATCATTTATGCCGTCGAAAACTGGCTTCGTTTCGCTTTGCTATTTGGTTGAGGGGTGGGTGGTAGTCAATATTGTGAACAACTTGGCCCATGCAAATTACAAAATTACATGAGCCCTATGAGTTTTCTTCATATTTGCATTTAGAAATGCATGGTTTCCCTTGCACAAAAAAGTATACAACATGCGGCTCTGAAACCCGAAATACAAGTGTTGCGGCAGGTTGGGTTCAAAATGATTCGGGCATTACAAACGTCTTTTAAAACCAAAAATACTATTTTTTCGAGCATAAAATTTGAAAAAGACGTAAGCTACTACCAAATCAGTAGAAGGAAGAATATTTTTGTTCATGTCTTCTATAAAATACATTTGAAGTAAAAAGGGTACTGAAAATCAGTGGTCAAATTCATGCTACTTATGCAGTCATTTTTACGGAATACAGTTTATGCAAGCGGTCAATAAGGAGCTCGTTTGAAAGCCGGTATCCTGATATGACTCGAATATCCCAACATTATGGGACATGATAATGAATATAACCACCTCACTAAAGTAATTTTTTGCAAATGAAAACATATTTCAGAATTCCATTCAACATTTCATAAAATAACATACCTACAAATGATATCCAGTGCTGACCTAATTTTTTTTTCTCCCAGAAAGGAAACGGTTCGAGTGCAAGTTCATGGAAAGTAAGTTGACGGTCAAAATTAAAACAGTATTCTGATTACTACTGATCATGCCCGACAACAGGAGCTAGAGTAATTCCAAAATATAAAATTTGCATGAAGTGAATTCTCTATAAATAGTCTGTTAGCCAACAGTTCACCGCTTGGATACAATACGAATAAGCATTCAGTCCTAAAGAACAATATGGACGATGATTTAAGAGTTCGAGTTTCTCGCTTATGTAAAACCGGCCAGTATTGCAAAAGCCAGCCGATAAAAGTGCATTTCTCTACCGATTTTCGGCGTTTTCTATCACATTATTTCCGAATTAACTGTAATTCACGTTACAACAGGTGAAGCAGACTTTACTGATTCACCCCGACTGATTCGATAAATGAGTGCACCCCTCCGAAACACATTCGAACTCTTTGAGTCTGCTGTGAGGAGACATCCTAAATCAAAAGAAGAAGAGGCGTTCACCGGGAGGGGTTTATTGGAGGTGCGACGTTTCGAGTAGTTGATCCGTCTACCCATCTTCAGAGACTGGGAAGTCCTGCGCACAGCTCCCCCTAGATGGCGCACTTTGTTCAATGCGTGACCCGTCAATGCCGCCTGTGTGGCTGCATCCAACCCGCATGTCACCGTGACCTGAATCGCTCCCGTCGGCCGCGGAGATGACTGACGGCCCCGATTGTCCCGCGCCATGACCGTCCCCCGTTAAGAAGGTTCGTAAAGTCAGATAGGGGGGGGGGGGACAAATTGATGTGGTGGTCGAGAGAGCAAAGTCGTACCTCCAATAAACCCCTCCCGGTGGACGCCTCTTCTTCCTTTGAAATGCCACCTGGGAGTCGCATTTTCACTACTGTTGACATCCTAAATCGCACTGGACTGCACTGGCGATCAGTACTGCGGACTGGATCATATAACCAGCAAGCGTTAAAATATACATTAATGAGGGGGCAGGGGAGACAGTTCTACTAGGTATGTAAAAAAGGCGGAGTATCCTCGCGAAAAAGGAGGGATAGGGGAGGTCGGCTGTTGGACTTCACCTGGTACCACACTTTCCGGATGCGTAAGTTTCCCATTTTCATCCAAAGATATTCAAACAGCTGAAATCTTTGACTACTTCTAGTTGTCCTGTTGCCCTGCTAAAAATTACTACTCGATAAAAATGCATAATTCACTTCGACTCAACTGTGAAAAACTCGGCGCCTCGGTGGGATTCGAACTCACGACAGCAGGGGGAAGGCTTTAGCACAGCCAACGCTCTAGCCATCCGAGCTAAGAGGCCCCACCGGACGACGCGAGTTTAATAACATTTGGGTCAAGTTACACGCCCAACCTACTGCAACGTCTGGAATCCACCAAATGTGATACAGTGAGCTGACTGCGCAGGCAGGATTTCCTAAGTGATTCACCTAAAACCCATCAGATGACAACTAGGCGCTTAAGCGGAGCTTTTAGAGTGGAATTGAAGATTGCATTAGTTTCCTCAAGATTTTTTTAGTGAATTCGCTAAGAATGCCATTTGAAGGCATCGTGTAAGATCGGAAATCCTATTGGCACAAAAAAACAGCGTATTGCTTACCCAACAATTCTGGAAATCGTGCCAAAAGTGTGTTTTTTTGTTTTTGCATAAATCATGACGGTGAATGTCGGCCGGGCAACAAACCAGTCTAAACAAGCCTCCGTGCTGGTAGTGACCACTGCTTTAATCAGGGCTTTTTGATCTTTATTTTTTATTTTAGCAAACTTCTAACAGTGGAACCGCCAACCTCAAGGTGATTTGCAAATGATAATAATTGGAAAATGTCTGTAAAAGCCGCTTCAAAACCTTTCACTATACATATGGGACGCATGATCTAGGGCAATTTATTCTTGCGCTCCAAGGGAGAATTCGGTAGAACACAGGACTAAGGAACCTCCATATTACAGGTGGGGTTGCATTAAATGCCAAAGGAGGGTTATGAGGGCAGTTGGTTTTGAATAGAGTTCTGTTACCCTCGGAGGCTTCGTATGATTTTATGCAACCGAGTTGGCCATTGCATTTCGTCCTCCGCTTGGTGGAATTTTATGCTTAAATATCGGAGTTCCGACCAAATGCCGTATGGACGACGGTAGCTGTGACCGAATGCCGGAGTCAAAGACTGGGATTTCAACAGGTGACCCAATCTGTCCCAGTCTTCTGAAAACAAAAACGGGAGGTCCTTAGAGAAGGAATCAAATTTTTCTCGATAAATATATATATATATATTATGACAGATGGGCGCTCACTGATCAGGTTGCGGAACGTGCTTGTTCCGTTGTGCCTTGCAGGCAGTAGCACAACGACTAGTAGTGGAAGTAAATGACATGGTATCCACAAAGACAAGGGAGGCCGGAATGGCCATTTCTGACTTATTATCCTTTATTATCCTTGATCAACCCCAAGTGTGGATCACTTGAGATTCGAAGCCGGGATCTTTGGTCATGGAGTTTGACACTCTGTCATTGAGCTACGAGTCCTTTGTCCTGTCGGTTGTGATCGGGAATATCAATTATGACAGATGGGCGCTTACCGATTAGGTTGCGGAACGCGATTGATCCACACTTGGAGTTGGGTATGACTGGCTGATTACAGCTAATAAGCCAGTAATGGCCTTTCTAGTCTCCCTTGTCTTTGTCTGTAAAAACACTCTACATATATATATATATATATGCTGATAGAAGCGAAGATGCGCGTCCCCGGACATAAATAAGAAGAAGAGGCGATCTCGGGAACCATTGTTATATTGCCCTGACGTTTCAAAATCAAACAAGATTTCATCGTCGGACGATGAAATCTTGTTTGATTTTGAAACGTCAGGGCAATATAACAATGGTTCCCGAGATCGCCTCTTCTTCTTATATATATATATATATCAGAGGGCAAACGACGGAGTCTGGGGGATATACTGATACGGAACTGTCTTTGGCTTGTTAGCCTTCACCTAGCCAGTCATAACCCTGACCACCAGCTGGGACTGAAAACACAAGCATGTGCACAGACACACCTGGTGCAACTGGTCCACCATTGGGGTCTGCCACATGGGCCATAAGCACCTCATCGAACCGAATTTCATCAGTACCTCGTCACCTGCCAGTCTCTGTGGTTGCAGATCGGGTGGTTATTCACTCAGGAATGTGTGCACACTGATGAATTGGCTTCCCGAAGCAAACAAGCTTTGTGTGGGCGACAAGGGTCACGAACAGGCAACCACCTACCAGACCAAACTCAACCAAGCTCTGATAGCAGATATATATATTTGACAGCCCTTATCGAAATCAGTGCCTACCCAGGTAAGATTATTGAAGGAGCCACTAGCAAAACTATTCAAAAGTAGGAATAACGAACTGCCCTCCCCAAAAGGCAAATCTGTTGATCCAACTGTCAAGAAACTTCGCACTTACAAGCGTGTGTTTCTTATTAATAATTACTCAAATATCCATTTATCTTTTGATTGAGTAAAGCTAACACGGACATTATTATATTTTAGAGTCTGGCTTATTCTGCCAGAGGAGAAGTAAGTCGTGTTATCTGTGACGAAAGGGTTTGAACGTTGATTATCTAAGAACTTTAGCTCATACTGTAATGGACTGTCCTTTTTTATTTTTAGGCGAAAAGTCAGACTTCCAAGACAGTCGTACGTTTTCCTTTTACTTTCCATCTTTTCGTGCTTGAACTGTTGAAAGCACTGGATACTTATGGGATCATAAGGAAACAAAATACTTTTGACAAGTCGGACTGCTAGCTCTTACGTTAAAAGCATTCAGTGGCCTCAGTTTTTACGCCTTTTCAGAAAAAAGCTGTGCCTCTTCTTCTTGGGCAAACCTTTTCGCACACAATTAGAGCACACAAGCCTTTTTAGGAAGCTTTTTAAAGTTTATGGCCCAAGAACTAGTGTGAACAAGGCGAAGGTTGCGAAGCAATCAGTACTTACTGGCGTCATTAAAGTTCGCGACATTTCAAGCAACCGTAAACGGTCACCGTGTATTTACGCATTGTGAGCCATTGCTACGTGTACAGTCTAGAATGAAAACGGTGTAAAAGATAGTCCGGAAAACAGTGCGAAAGATGCCAATAGTCCGGATACGAGGTTCAGTTATCGCCCTGTTCAGACTTGCTCTGCGAAAAGAACGTTTGATGAATCAATTACTGATACAGTCAACCTTTTTATAAATTTTTTAAAAAATTCTAATATGCCCGTAGGAATTGCTGAAAGTTTTGGGGTCTCAGAGGTGAAAACTAAGCGCCTTTTATATATATTTCAGCTTGGAAAGATGCTTACCAAAGAAAAAGTAAGACACTCTACAGGACATATATAACAGTAAATTCCCTGCCCCCAAGAAGACCACTCAACCATCCTCTTTTTAAAATTCGTTCTAGAGTAATTATTGAAATGCCAGCGCACAGGTAAGTGCGGTCTTGCTAGCATTACTTATGTTTATCTAAACTTGCAGTATGCGGAGGTGAAAAAAACTTGACCTGACGAGAAGACGGTAATTGCACTCGACCCGACAATTAATTCCCCCAGGGCTGCTTTAGGCCCTTCGTTCCTTCGGGTCTTCCTGATTGGGTATAAGACATTGGGCATTCCTCTCTAATAGGATCCTCTTTTGGGAGACAGCGAGTTAGCTAGGCGAGTTAAGATCACATGTCCCGAGACTCGCCCTACGAGCCAATTCTAATGCAATAACTCGCGATAAAAGGCAAGAGATAGAGAGAGAGGGGGGGCAGTTTTTTCTCTCATGGGGGCCCTGTTCGGGGGCCCTGCGAGCTTACTGGTCTCACTGATCTTTTTAAGAAGAAGATGGGCTCTCCGGAAAGGGTTTAATTAGATGTTGACGTTTAAAAGACCTTGGTGGGCTCTCCATTTTCGAAGCGTAAAATGCACTTAATCGACCAGAAATTTCAGGTGGCATGTTGTGTTGGCCGGCCTCATGCTGGTCGATTTTTCTCTCCTCTCGCTGCCTCGGCTTCTCGGGACTTGGTTGACGGGCGTTTTGCCAGCGTGCTTTGTGAGTCACCACTCCGTCGGGGGAAGCTAATTGAACCCGCCAGAATAAGCATAGCCCATTCATCCCAGACAACAATTCGACGCCGTCTGATGCAACCTAAGGACCCATTGCCACCCGTTGAAACCCCAGCAGTCACCTACAAAATAAATTGCAATGAGGGCGACTGCAACTATGTGGGAGAAACCAGGCGGAAATTGCAAACTCGCCTACAAGAGCACAAATCGGCCACTCGGAGGTTAGACCCTAACTCTCAACTAGCAGCACACGTTGGAGAAACAAAACATACTTTTGACCTCCAGAGGGCTGCCATCTTAGGCCGAGGCAACACAAAAGCAGAACAGCTAACTCTCGAGGCGTGGTTCTCCGATGCCCACTCCATCAACAGGCATCTGGACCTTCCTGCAGCTTGCTAAGTTCTACGTCATCACAGTCGTAGAGCTCAGGACCAAACAACCACACCGGACATAAGAAGGCCGTACGGAGATAGCCCGATGGCGAGTTTGCTCGGTGAGGAAGAACAAGAATCATCACTCCTAAACACCCTGAAGAAGTCGGCGCCTCATGTAAACTACGGCTAAAAAGTGTCTGTTGAACGGGAGAAGATATTTACTGATCAAATCTGCGTTCATTTAGATTTGGGATTTTCAGCAGAATTATTTATTCTTGATGTTCATTACGCTCCGCGAGAATTGTAGAAATCTCTTCTGAGAGAAAATTTATTTAAAGTTCCGAATCCCCTGAAATGTCGGAAGTTGCCGTCTTACCTTTTTCCCAATTTTTAGGTACTTCGTGGATGTGCCTCGCATGCAGTAAGTCCTCCTCAGATACCTAGTTATCCATGCATTCCTGCAGAAAAATACGACCTAAATTAGGTTGGAGTACTTATATGCACGCAGTATTATCCGCAGTTAATTCAGACACGGCCACGCACACCTTCCCATGTCAGGAGTTGATTGCACTCAGATGGAAATCTCCTCTTTGTTGACAACCTTTGCTTAACCTCAGATGCCCACAGTAGGTGGGTTAACTCATGAAATGTCAACCGAACTTCCGAAATGTGTTTTCGTTTTGAAAAGATTACTTAAGTAGGGTTGCAAAATTAATCGGTCTGCATACTATTTAAGTAGTCCATTTTACAGGGTATAGTTTTTATGTGCAGCCGGAAGGACGTTCGTTCGAAAGTCAGTATCCTGAGTAACTGAGGTATTATAGAATTATGTTGCAGGCTGAATAGTTTTACAATCCTACTTAATTGATCTTTTCGAAACGAAAACTTATTTCGGAATTTCCATTGAAATTTCATGAATTAGCCCACCTACTGTATTTGAGGTCCTAGGACGCATGTACCACTATTCTCCTCAACGCCCTTTCGAAAAGGCCATTTTTTCAAAATTCTGAATTTGATGGAGGGCGTATTAAGCCTGTAGTAAATTCACAAACTAGTTAACCTCTAAAGTTTTGTTGAGGATCAAATGAGCCAGTACACGTTTACACTACAAAAACATGCCTGCTTATTTGGTCTAGGTAGGTATGTTAAGCTAGGGTCTATCGTAGTAAGGCGTTGACAGTTCGAATTAGGATTTAGGCTGATATTCGGATTTTGCATCCATACGGAAAACTGAAACTTTTACAGTTCTACAACCCTAAAAGCAAGTGTCGCGGCTGGTGGGTCCACAATTATTCGAGGATACCCTATCTTTGAGTTTAAAATTTAAAGATGACGTAATTTATTACCGAACGAGTACAATAAAAGATGTTTCTTCGTTGATTTCTGCAAAGTGCATTTCATTTTTAGGATGCCGAGAATTGGCGAAAAAAGCTATATCACTTTAGTAGTCATTTTTTATGGAACGAAATTTTGCAGGTTATAATTACCTGTATATTGTGCGCCGCTGTGTGGCTGCTGGTTGGGCTCGAGAGAGAGCCCGTAAGGCACAGCGTGACGAGTGAGTTCCGTAAAAACGAGCGGTGAGCGCTCCTCTACCATTGTATATTCCCGATCGAAACCGACAGGACAACGAGCCCGCGGCTCAGTGATTAGAGGCGTTGGACTTCTAACTAACAGGTCGCGGAATCAAGCCCTAGGTGTCGGTAATGCTAATTTAACTCATGGTAGAAACATCATAAGTTCACGTTCAGTGCTAAGGCTACGGGGGCGACAAACGGCAGAGAATAGATATTTGTAAAAGGTACACTCAGTGGCTGTAAAGCACCGGAGACTATTTGTGAGGATAGAAGTTCACAGGATGATCTTCACCCTTGAAGATCGGTAACGATTGACCCTAATGTCTTAAGTGATCGGCTGAAGTCAGATCCACCTGAGGACACAAAAAATAACTGTTTCAGGATACCTAAACCAACGGTAGAAGACGTCCGTCTCGGAACTAGCAGGTTTCGGCAGTTTTTTAAATGAGTTTTTATAAGTTTCCTCGCTGCGACTAACAACCTTTCCTCGGGATGCGGTCTTCATACCTTCAGTGGGAGCAGGAGTAGCTGGCGCAGCAGGACCTTCAGCGAAATATGTTGTGACTCGGAAGTTAATTTAATACTGTAAGGGTACATCTGGATTCCTCTTCCGATGTATAATTAACCAATCAATTTATAGATGGGAAATTTTAGGCTGCTGAACAGCATAACATGCAAACGCTTGGAGGCGCTCAGTCCTCCTAAAGGAAGCTTCCAAATTTCGACACCGACTGCTTCTATACGTGACCAAAAGAGTTTAGCGGACTGGCTTTCTGGCGCGGACGATGGTCTTGGGTTAGCTTCCTATTGTTTTCCGGACTTCGAGTATAGTGCCCGTCGGTTAATGATTACACAAATGGATAGCAGAATATGACATGAAATAGGAAACATACACGTAAAACGACTCCGTAAGATTTGAGATGAAATTTTAAAAAAGCGTGAGTTTTTTACCACTTTTGGACTATTTCACATGCGCGCCTGATCAGTATAGCCAATTAGACATTCCTTTCTCTTCACGATGTCAAATAAAAGAGGGGCATACCGAGGATGCCTAACAGATGGGAAACTGTCGCTGATTTAATTCGTCCTTGATCTACTAACGACTCTTTCCCTGCTCATATGTTCTTGTTCATTTTAGAATGGAACTCGACTTGCCACATGAAGTGTAAGTTTTTTGAATAACGGAATACTACAAGTCAGCGGTGTTTTTGATGTTACTGCCTGAAGATGCAGGCTTAAGTGCTTTATGGTACTTGTTTTGTGAATGAATCGAAGTTCTGACTAACCGATTTCCTTCAAAAAATCACGCTTTGCGTTTTAGAGTCGCAGATGCCCTCTCGGAGGAGGGGTGAGTCCGATAAATCAATGTGCTTCTGTCTGGTTTTTTTGCAGCTGCATTAGTACTTCTCAGAAGTGACCTTTGTGTTTTTCTCAACGCTTTCAGCCTGACCGTCATTATTCCCAGAAGACGGTAATCCAAGTTGAAGTGCTTCTGTCATCCTTAACCCAAGAACTAATTTGTCTTAAGAATTTTTCTGTTGCGCAAACCAAGATGACTCGCATATTCCTTTTTTAGGCTACTCGCGACCATGGTACAGAAATGGTAATTGCTGACATACTTTACTTCCCCCTACGTTTCACTTTTGGACGTTTCGAGTGTGCGATACGTCTTTGAATATAAGCGAAGAAAACCCTGAAAAATATTTACGAAATGTTTCTCTGCGGTAGCTGATCTCTAACTCACTCGCGAGCAGCCGCAAGTTAGGCTGAAGACTTCGGAAAAATGACAGAAAACCAAAGCCCACTACCGGGAATAAAAGCATGAGGGATTTCCACACACACAAGTCTATGCGCAACACCTGCAGGGAGTTGCATTGAAAATACTGCTGTCTGGCTTTTTTGATGAGGGATCATAACTTCATGGAAACGACGTGTAATATGGGTGATAGTCGTCTACGCGTGCCACAAACAGCATGGCCCCGGAAAGATAAAATTAGGGCGGTTCCGTTCTGGACTGCGTGAGAATGCCATGAAAACTTCACTGGGAAGGAGTAATGTCAGCCTGACTTTCACAGGGAAAATTTTGAGCCACACCTGCGCATTCGGCCCCGGATGGTGGACAGTCTCCTCCCGACAGAGTTTAACCAAAACACAATGGCTACTTATTAGTTGCGAGTAGGTGATGCGGGTGTCCTAAAGATTAGACGGGGTCTTCTAATCCACAGTGCTCGAAAGCGTAATAGAAGTGCGTTCAGTCGCAGTTCGAGGGAGTCAGGATGAGTGTCTACGTTACTCACATTCCTCTTAGATCCCCTGTACCCACTTGCAAACTTTCATTCAATTACAGCCTCTTTGTCTTTCACGCTCTTAGCACGAATTCCATCGATGTCTTTAGCAGCTTAATAATTCACGAATCGAGAAGGGGAACTGGAGCGATCAATTCTGTCCTATTTTCCGTCAACAACCAACCACAACCAGACTACCTGGGGTTTGTACCAGGACGTAGAGTAGATCATTACGGGATAAAATCGAACACACTACCACTTAGTTAGCGGACTCGCGTCCTGTGCTGTGGCCGGAAAACTTGGAAGTAATCTGACAGTCGCGTTGGCTGATTCGTCCTGGTTACGTAACGCAATACTGGCTATTCCGTTTTACTCGAAGTTGCAGTCCAGACCCTTCTCACATGTCAGTTCGACCGTCGCGAACGACGGTATTTGCACTGTGCCCCATGTGCATGTTGACCGCACGAACGACGACTTGTGTGCAAATAGTGCCAGTAGGCCTGAGACCGATGTCAAGACCGGAAGCAGAGTAGGGTGTAGTGGTTGACAAAGTTAGACAGCCTGCCTGAGCTTGCCACACATGCTTGGTTCGCGCACGATGGACCAGGATTTCGAAGAAACGAGGGATAGCGGGGGTGGGAGCTCGGATCCTGAGTGGAATTGCCATAGAGGCCACAGTACGAAGAAGTCGTTGAAGCCTGACTCCCCATCCCGACGGGAGAACCGAGCCGGTTGGCAGTCCTCCAAGCCACGACTTTCAGCGCGTCGTGATAGTCTGAGAACGCATCAGTTTCTTCAGGATGAGGAACTGGGCTTAGGTGCTGTGGGAATGAGGTCCCCAGAGTCGACTGTCTGAGCCTGTTAGCTATCTGATGCTGGCATTTGGCCGGCGTGGCGCGAATCTGCGCCTAGGCGTGTCGCCACACCCCTCATGGGTGGCCTTTGTCATGAGATGCGCAGACTCGGCACAACTTGGTCAACGCGTGCCTGGCCCCAAATTGGCCTCCGTGTCAGTCCATCGCATCGCCCGCCCGGCCCCTCGAAGGGGCAGTTGGCGTGATTACGAGTGGTCGCATGATGCCAAGTAATCAATGCCCGGGGGGGTAGTTGCTGACAAAGGTGGGGGGGAGGGGTTACTTCGGCAGTTCCGGAATATCTTCCTCTTCATTTACCAGTTACTAGAAAGACCTGAAGCAACTATACCTTTTCTGTCGACATCTTTGGCCTAAGGAGATAACAGAGTGTCACAAGACTTTGATTCAATCATTCCTACACGAAATTGCCGCAATGCATGACCTTTTATTTTACTTTCAGTCCATTCGAAGACGATGTCCTGCGACCTGACTTCGAACATCGAGCAAGACAACAGTTTAGGGCCTTGGATAAAGAAAAGAAGGGATTTCTATCATTGAAAGACGTGTGGTATGGCCTTGAAGAAGAGGCGGGCAAGAATTTCACAAGAGAAGAGATTGAAGAAATCTTTGGCTACATTGACCAGAAAAAGAGTGGGCGGATCGACGAGGAAGAATGGCTGCAGGCAGTAAAAATAATTCAGTAATTTGCACATAATTACTGTTAGTTTACTATTTACTTCATTACTTTATTCACAAAAATAAACACTGCACTTAGTTTCTGCCGACTTAAGTCTTGTCTATTCGAGTTGATTTTTGAGCGCATTCGGGATAGTGTGGACACAGAATCCGTAGTTTTTCAACGAGGGTGCGCTCACAACCCGCTGCCAGGACTTTGGAATTTACGATCATAGGTACACGGTGCAAGCAGATCGGGCGCTTTCTTTTGCCTTGGCGTTCCTGTCTCCAAATGTCACCGACTGTCTCGAGGCGACGAATGTTCGAGGTCAATGTCATACTGGATTTTTCGGGCAGGAAATATCAATGCAAGCTGCTCGCATGTGTCGCCCAGTCTTTACGTTCCCAGTCGACAAAACGAAAATTTTTGATGTAACTTGGACCAAATCTGAATTCTTTAGTCTTATCTGTTTGGAGTTTTGGTGTGCAACAATAAATAAGGTAGGACGGCGAATTACAGTTAGTGACCTAACGCATGAAATGTGTCGAAAGTTACGAATTATTGTCAATCACTCGAAAACCGACACCATTTCATGAGTCCATTGTCTAGGTTAATTAAGTACAAGTTTAAAAGAATTAAAAACATAAAAGAAATATTAAAGGCAGTGTTGCGTTGTTTAGAAATGCCGATTTTTTTTAGAAAAGCGCAATATTCCGAAAACGTCAGAAATGGCTCTAATTTTGTAAACTTCGTTTTAAGATGTATAAAATGTGTTGGCCTACCAAAGCGTAGTAAATATGAAAGTAGACATAAAATAACGTCTAATAATAGTGTTTTAGTGAATTTTACATCTAAACATCGTTTAATAGGTAGTGTGATTCCATATATGACGGTTTCTCAACTGTCTACATTCTCAGTGTAGATTCTAAAACGGTTCTCTAGGGATTCGTGTTTTTCTTGACTCCCTTGAGTTAAGTGAGATGGGGTTCAACGACAGAGGCTAGATTTTGCTGGATTTTACCGATGAGGACGTCGCAGGAACAAAAGTGTTCATAAGGTGACATGCCATGAGGCCGGTCGATGCCTAATAAATTTAAATAGAGTTGACAGACGTAGTCTTGAACATACCATCTTGTGTTTATAGAGAGAACTTTTTTTCCGTTAAATTAATTTACACTTTTCGTTCGTTTCGGATTAAGTTGAGTTTCAGATCGGCCTCCAAATGGTGCTGAATACTTCATGATTTTCAGCGTTTTCACCCGATCGTCCATAAAGACAGCTTCTGAATAACCTGTCTGTTGAGAACTTTAAAATAAGTTTATTCTTGAAGGCGTTTACCGAATTAATGAGTGTTCGGGCGCTCCTTTTCACGAAGCTGGTCGTTTGGGTCACATGTGAAGACTCATTCAAATATGAAACTTCATTTTCGAGAAAAATGGCTGTCCACAACGGAAGTCAGTAACGAATATGCCTGGTCTTCACACTCATCGAGCCTTCTAAACAAGAGTCGACTGCTGAGCCTGGTAACCAGCTAGTGGTGTGATTGGATACAGTGGGTAAAGCGACCGGAATGTTTTTGCGCAGCCCGATTAACGCGTCCAGTGAGCCAGCCTGCCTCCCTTTTGGTCCAGCGCATCCAAAGCAGAGCCCGTTATGGGGGGCTTCCAGTAAGTACTTAACCGTCAAAATAAGTGCATCTTTTAAAGCAGATGCTGTCTGGGTGGTGTCGGAGAGATGCTATGTGGGGACCTACAGTTCGACCGTCGTTGCCGTCGAGGCAGCGGTATGGTTTATGTTGGGAGTTACTTACTCCGAGGAGCAATTGCGCTGAAAGGAAATAACTGGTGATATTTATTTGTACGTGCCAGAGAAAGAAATAAAAAGAGCTCGCGGAGGCTGTTGCGTGAGAGTGGTCAGGACACTTAAGGTGCTCATCGGAGTAAAACACGACAATGCAATACATTCTTGACAATGCCTGCAAAGGAACATTAAATTCATTTACTATTATCCTTAAATGGCAGGAATAGTGTCGCCTTTTAATTAGTGACAATACGGAGTATCTAAATGCGTGATACCACAAAGTTCTTAGGTGTTCAGTTGTTTTGCTCAACACAAATGCTTCCCGCAGTAAGCCACCCCGGTCATAAACCATACCCTTGCCATCGATGATGCTTACCGTGGGTGAGAGCAGGCACGGTGGCTTGCGCGTTTATAACGAGAGTAGTCTTACGCAGCATCTATTGGACTCAGTACGCAATCAGACGCACCTTGTAAAGAAGGTGCTACCTGGAGTGGTGTTGGAAAGTTGCGCCCGTGAGATATGTTTATGAGAGAAGGGTCACTGTCGCGCGACAGTAGAAAACCTGGCGAGCAACTTTACCCTAACGACCTGTTACAACCGGACGGATGTTTCAGCAATTCGGTCAAACAATGTCGAGACAGAATTGATATTATAGAACCCATGATGGGGAGCCTAAAGCCTGGGGAGTCACCGTCTACAAGAAGGTCACCTCAAGGCCGCTTCTCGTGGAATGGAGAGGCGGAGCCCACAGTTCTTCGTTCTCATCTAGCGAAGTATACGGAGTTAAACTTACTGGTTACCAACCGTTGGGCAAAATTCAGCAGATGGATCAATCTTGCTGCAGGACCTGTAAGTCGACGGAAGGGGAGTTCAGTTGGGTAGAGATGTCATTGTTTTCTTATAGTAATCGTCTGTAGCAGTCAGTCCAAATTTGCATAATAAGTGGGTGTCCACTTGTAGTTCCATTCGGCGAACAGTTTTTTTCATTCAGAAAGTGAGCATAAATGATAGGGGACAATTACTTTACTGAATTAGTACATGGTTGGCCTAACAGCAGACGCCTAGCAAGCACTCTGGACATCCAGCTTGCTTACTGCCCTCATGGAGACTAACACGTGTGGGTGCTCAGACATGATGATATTATCGCAGGAAATTGCCCGGATATAAGACAACTTTGATCGAGGTTCATACTTATAAAAATTCTATATGAGAAAATTACGTAGAAACACATTCTGCATAAAGATGGGACATTTTCTGAACGTTTTATGAGTTTGGTCGCATACTGTACATAGGTGCATCACATCTAGGACAAGGTGGCACAGCGCGTTTATTATGGGTGACTGGATAAAATATTAATGTTTAGTTCTTTCCACGACCCTTCTCCTTCTAAAAAAATACTTTATTCAGCAAATAAAAGGTGTGAAATATGATTGGGAGGTGGAAGGCAGTCAGATCAAAGCACGGGAAAGACAAATATTTGGGTAAACCCCTTATTGGGACTCCCAGTCAGTACTAAACCGCAGAAATAAGCGCACCTTTTAAAGTAAATGCTGCCCGAGTGGTGTCGGAGAGTTGGTCTGATAGAGAAAGGTCACTGTCGCATGACGGTAGACAAGAAGGCCCAGCAACTTTTCGCCAACGACCTGGTCCAGTCGAACAGATATTCCGGCGATTCGCTTGAGCAGTGTAGGGACAGCATTCATGCTATAAAGTCTATGATAGTGAAAACAATGCCTCGGGGGTCATTGCCTACAAGAAAGTCACCACAACGCCGTTTCTTAGGGAATAAAAGAATGGAGTCCACAGATATTCGCTGCCATATTTCGAGGGGTACGAAGTTAAACTCCTTCGCTATCAGCTGTAAGGGGAAATTTGGCAGATTAGCTGATCGTGCTGTGCGGTCAGAGACAGTTATCGACGGAAGGGAAGTCAAATGGAGTAGAGAGTTCATTGTTTTCTTATAGTAAACGTCTGTAGCAATCAGCCAAATATTTAACAAAAATACGTATTCATATCCATTTAGATCCCGCGAAACGTCGGATTATTTGGAAGGTAGACACAAATGATAAGGAACGATGGCTTTACTGAATAAGTAGAGTAGGTGAACGAACTCATGAAATGCCAACCGAAATTCCGAAATGCGCTTCCATTTCGAAAAGATTAATTGTGTAGCGTTGTAGAACTAGTCAGCCTGCAACATAATTCTATAATGACCCAGTTACCTCAGGGTGTCGGCTTTCGAACGAGCTTCCTTCCGGCTGCATAAAAGACTTACTCTGTAAAAATGGCTAAGTAAGTAGCATGCATTTTTCTCATTGATTTTCGATACCCCTAAAAGACCAATTATATCGCATGGGAAACATGCATAAAAATGTTCATTCTTTCGCTCATTCGGTAGACAATTACGGCTTCTTCTAATTTTATCTCGAAGGAGGGACATAATTCGGTTCTACAAAGTTTTTAATTGTGGAACTTTTAAATACCGTGGAATGGCCGTTCATAAATCGTCATGTCTCTGTATTTACCAATGTGGCTTGTAAAGTTAACAATATGGATCAAATTCACTGCTAAATTTCATGAACGCTATATGGTCTCCCATTAGTCCCGTAGAGAAATGTGTGGTTTTCCGCACGCGGAAAATATAAGGCTTGTAGTTTGGAAACCCTGAATCCAAGTGTAATGGAAGAGCGGGTTCGAAATTATTCGGGAATTGGAAAACATGTTGAAAAGCAAATTATACCCTTCCTTCGAGTATAAGGTTGGAAGAAGACGTAATTGTCTACCGAATGAGCAAAAGAATGAATCTTTTCATGCATGTTTTCCATGAAATATAATTGAATATTTAATGGCATCGAAAATCAATGAAAAATGCATGCTACTTAAGTAGTCATTTTTTACAGAATGTAGTTTTTGCATGCAGTAGGAAGGAAGTTCATTCAAAAGCCGGCATCCTGATGTAACCGAATTATTATAGAATTATGTTGCGGGCTTATTAGTTTTACAACCCTACTTAATTAGTCTTTTCTAAACGACAACTCATTTCGGAATTTTGGTTGACATTTCATGAGTTAGCCCACCTACTATTCACTGTTGGTCGACTAGCGGACGCAGAGCGATCATGCCGCATGGCGGAGGGGAGAAAGTCCCTCCTGGAAATTGGTCAGACATAGAAAGGGCCTTGTGATAGATGCAGTCTTAATGTCACATGGAAAATTTGATCTTTGCTA